TTGTAGTCGCTATTCCGGTATCATACTCATCCTTCTACTCACAGGCCAAAATTTTTAACGAGCTATCGGTAAAACCAAGGAGCGAAAGGATAGATTAATTTTGGTATCTGGAAACCATAAACATAAATACAAATATACAATGTGGTTTCCGGATACCATCGGATACAATCGGAGAACATTTAGTCAGATTGGAATCCACTGTTAAAAATGCCAAAGTATCTAAGCAACACGTAGTTTCAATTTTCTTTGATCTTGAGAATTACTTGGAAGCACGGAATTCTTAAGGATTTACAAGATTTTGGTTTGAGAGTTCGTTTACCTCATTTTATGTCACAGGTTTTAACACACGCAATTTCAAGTCAGAGTGGGTTCAACCCTGTCTGATCATAACAACCAGGATCAGGGTGCACTACAAGGCAGTACTTTGTCACTATATTTAGTATTCAAATTAGTAGTCTTTCAAAGGTTTTAACTGATCCAATTTAGTGAATAATTTTAATGTTTCTTGTCGTGGTAAAATATGCATATAATAGAGGCAGCTACAAACAAACAAACTTCACAAATGGTCACTTGAAAATGGATTTAAACTTTCTAAATTAAAAACAACATTTATCTTACCTTCATGTTAAATACTTTAGTTTCATTGGTCAATGACGCTTTAACACGTTTCCTTATCTTACCTTCATGTAAAATACTTTAATTTCATTGGTCAATGACGCTTAACAAATTTCCGTGTCACCCCCTCCCAGGAGGGTGACAACTGGAAAAAATATTACCAGCTGCCACGGTAACCGCCAAACTCTCCGCCGAGAAGCTGTCTCGCTAACAACCATATGACGTCATAATACGACGCATGCAGTGTCCGGAGTTCGAAAACCGTTCGATTAGCTGTTTTTGAGAGTCCCTTATGTACACATTTATTATACCGACATTCGCTGCTTTATTTAAACTATTTTATACATTGAATCGTTTGCACACTCAGCGTAAACATAATTAACCATTTTCATATCAGTTTCTAGCTTGTCAGAATATGTTTCACTGATTTTAAAAATCCAGTCGAGAGGCAGACGCCATTTTGTTTACATGTCATATAGTCGGTAGCCAGCTTATCGATTTCCAAAAAAAAGATAAAATGACATTTCTTACATTTAACATGGCGGTAAGATAAATACGTTGCATGCTTCTCCCTCGGGTAATACGGTCTGATGTACGCCTTTTTGTAGCAGTGTCATCCCTCGCCTACCGGCTCGGCTGACACTGCTACAAAGAGACGTACATCAGACCGTATTACCCTCGAAAAAGAGAGGCATACAATTTATAGTGTACATTTCTGTAGAAAATATAAATAAATACCCTGAACTATTTTCAAATGACACACCTATCAAGGTTCTCGGAGCGGTCTTCTACATCGCCTGTTTTTACATATCAAATTACTCAACCATTGACAATATATGCAGTCTGTAAACAATGATACAGACGTGAACAGGGAAAAGGAGAGGGAGATTTACAACCTCTTTGTGTACCTTTCAAATGTATTTGACACTATAAGACATGATATTCTATTACAAAGCTTGAAGGATGTTGCAATTTAGGGAAATCTTTCATCTATGTATTCACGCCCATATGCCTGGGTGCCTGTGAGTCTGCGTGTAATATTGGCACCCTCCGGGGATGAGCCCTCAGCTATCTATCATGTTCATCAATAAGATCTTAAAACACACCTGGAAGATGTTGGAGGAAAAAATGTTTTTATCTTACAAGATTTTAAAATGTTTTTGCCATAATGTTTGCAGATGATGTGTCATCTGTAGCTTATTCAGCTATTCAACTCCCAAAACAATAGATGCTCTGAAATTATTTTGCTTAGAAATTCGAATGAAAGTGAACTTTGAAGAAAACAAATGTGATGGTCTTTAGAAATGGTGAACACCTCAGAAGGTACGAAACGTGGACCTATAATGGTGAAAACATTGAAGTTGTACCCTCCTACAGATATTTAGGCATTATGTTTACACCCAAACTGATATAAACAGAGGCTCAAATTTGTTATCTTCCCAGAGTTCTAAAGCTGTGGTGGCTAAAAAAATATATATCGGAGGGCACTTTGTGATATTCCATGTAAAGATTTATTCAGAATATTTCACAGTATTGTTACTCCTATCCTGTGAAATCTTTGGAATTAATTACAGTAAAATAATTGAAGATGTTCGTGTGAAAACGTTTGCTTAAAGTGTTAAAAAAATACAAGTAACGTAATGGTGCTAGGTGAATGTAGTAGAGCTCCAATGCAGCTTCCATATATGACAAGAGCTGTCAAGTACTGGGGGAAGGTAATAACAAATGGGGGCTCTGACACTCTGAGAGACTGTCTGTCTGTGTTATTTAGCATGGTCTTTTACAGTTAAAGGTTTCACATTTTCAAACCAGTTATACATCTAAACAAGTGCTCAAAAGAAACTATGCGCCGCAAAATATTACATACAAATTCACACACAAAAATGAAGTGATGAAACCATACTCAGTACTGACCCATGTCACACATGTACAGGCCCATCTTTTCCGGGAATAAACGGCGAAACAAGTTGAAGAATCTCCTAAATATCAAAAACCACATTTTCTGATGTATCGTGCATACGGACGGTATAAAACAACCTACGCAACACGGTTGTAAAACAGCACAAACGATATGCCACGTTTGAGGCAAATAGAAACTGAGAGAGTTGTTGGAATGGCCCAACAAAAGCAAACCGCACCGGCATTACCAATGCCTTCGGCGTCACCGAGCAACTGCCATCAGACTGATGCAAAGACTAGGACAAGGAGTGGTCGACCACATGTGACAATGCCCGGTGATGATCGCCACATCCGGACGATTCATCTGAAATACCGTTTTGTAACGGCGACGTCAGCGGCATCGACGGTACTAGGACACCGTATCAGTCGACATACAATGTACCGGCGACTGACAAACGACTTTCTGCACAACGCTAACATCGTTGTTTTGCTGTGGCTAGCATGCTCTCCCAACATGAATCAGACAGAACACCAGGTAGAACACTACCTGGATCGACAAATCAGAAGACTACCAGCGCCACCTGTCATCGCTTAACAACTGGATCAATATCTCCTACAGGAATGGCACCTGGATCACGCCTAACGTCATTCGTCGTCTTACGTCATCAATACATCGACGTGTTTTGGCGTGTATTGAAGCCAATGGTGGTCACAATCACTATTGAATCGACATTAGATGACATTTTGCAGAAAATACTGCCTTGATGAATTGCGTGAAAGTTCAGACTATGATACCACGTGTCTTTCGGTGTCGGTCAAAACGGTAGTTTCGACTCTGAATGACATGACATTATATACGTTTTCCGTAGAATTGAATACTCTATTAAAATGAGACAAATATTCATTCATATATGCTTTTCTTTTCTTTTCAAGTTTGGTGTAACACTCTGTATACTTTCTTTTGAGCATTAGTTTATATGTGAGATATCCTAGTTTACTGTACTTCGTTGACAAGTTTTCATAATCTTTCTTTATGAATTATGAATCTGTAACTTATTTCAGTCAAGATATATCGGCAGCTACATTGTGATTTGCAAACTTGAATATACCATAAACAGCACAGTACAATAAACGATTGGCAGTATAACTACCAGCAAATCACTGTACATATAAGTAGCATCTGAGCAATATAAATTCATGAGTACTATTTGAGCGGTGGGTTAACCTAGTGGTTAAAGCGTTCGCTCGTCACGCCAGAGGCCCAGGTTCGTTTCCCCGCATGGGTATAATGCATGCAGTCCATTTTCCGATGTTCCCCGACGTGATATTGCTGGAATATTGCTAAAAGTGGCGTAAAACCAAACTCACTCACTAAGTATGACTAATATTTGACAATACAAGATAACCACAGGCACTGATCCCAAGCAACCAAAGGCAGATCACCACAGTGACTTACTGCAGGGAACATGGTGACCAACAGTATTCCTGCTATCTGCTGCTTGTCACCCAAACAGGATTTACATGTATATAAGTTGCTGCAGATAGCAATAGGTAACATATGGCAAGTAAAGCACGTTTAATACAATGTCAGATACAGATATGCTTTGAATGGCATTGGACTAACGATAGCTTTTCTGGACAATATTTTTACACTTCAACCCCGCCGGGAGCAAAGATACAATCTCAGTAAGAAAGTTTATGCTTCTAAGCTATAAATCTTTATTAATCTATTACTATTTAAATCAAAACAATGATGAAATGAGAAGGTATATTGAAGGTCCCATTATGGATGAGACTTTGGAATACTGACAGCTTTTACTGGAATTTAAACAGCGCAGTGATGCTTGACTGTATTTCTATCATCAAAGGAGGATGGGTATCCTCACTTTGTCAATAGTCTATAATATTTAATTATATACTGCATAAAGTTAAACAATGAATGACAGTACAGATTTCTAATGCAATACGATTGAGTCACAAATCTAAAATATTAACTAAACGTCTATAGTCACCCAAGACTTGATCCTAGTAGATATACTGATTGATTTGTTGAACTGTTGAAAGTTCAATGTAGACGAGGCCTCTTGAGCGGTCGGTCTTGAAACGTCAATGCTGGTAGACAGTTGAGCGTAAATCCAAAGGCGTTCTGGTTAGAACTGATCTTCAGTAACCCATGCTTGTCGTAAGAGGCGACCAACGGGATCTGGTTGTCAGCCTCGCTGACTTGGTTGACAAAAGTCATCGTGTAACAATTGCGTAGATCAATGTTCATGCTGTTGATCACTGATTTGTGTGGTCCAGAATCGATTATTTACAGACCGCCGCCATATACATGTAGCTGGAAATCTAAGTGCACTCGTAAATCTAAACTCACTCACTCACTCAAATTTAAATGAAAGCTGTAGTTCACCGAAAAGAACTTGATGTGAAAACAACAAACAAAACACGCAACGTGATAAACTTGACAATAGTATTGAAAAGATAACTAAGTTTATAAATTTATTCAAGTCACTACACAGGTATTAGACCGGCACTTTCTTTTACAGTTCTTCGTTCACGAGGAACGGTGTGTCAAGACACGCATGCCCAGTACGGAGTCCACTATCGTCTGTTCCAAGAAGCTTCGTCCTTAACATGTGGCCACACTGCATGTTGATCTTCTCTTCAGTGGCGGATCTGTCAAAAGTGAAACCATCAGATACCTCAGAATACACGTGCATCATCAGCCCCCTACTGAAGTCATTCAGGCATCACCATTCAGGCATCACCATCGGTATACCATCAGTATACCATCAGTATACCATCAATATACCATCAATCCCACAACGCAAGCTCATTATCAAGTACTCATATACAAATTCATTTCTTCGTGTATCATAAGATCAATGAAAAACATTTCTGACACAACACAAAACTACCATGATGACATAAAAAAGTCCATCAGATCCACAATACAATTTCATCAAAATTAGGCTTGTTCTGCTCTGTTAGTAGCAACAGAAGTACCCGAAGAGACACACACAACCAATTTTGACTTGGCAGAGGATTACATAGACTATATCTTGACTGCAAGTCAGCTGAGTGATTATGTGCCTCACTCCGAGAGTGTGGGTTCGAATACCCCAAGCAACTAAACATACTAAACGTAATAGAAGTTGTACTACTAAAATGTGAAATTGAAAGTGTAACACATACATCCTTTGGTTAATTCAGCAGAAAAGGCATCCTTGACTTGAAGGACTATACCCACCCGAGGAACACTCCAAATATCCCCAGTTCACTGGTCACATCAGACAAGACAAAAGGTCTCCCAGGTGTGACGAGATAGTTCTTTTGTGTTTTGGGGAATATCCTCTCCATCAGGATGTAAGCATTCCTCTCTGTGGAATTCTGGTGTGTCTCCAGGAATTCTCTGATGTCGTCTCCGTACAGGTTGTTTCCTGACAGGAGGAAGAAGATATATCAGAGGCAGTGACTTCAGGCATCATGATGGGCTGTTATTCGTCTCAGTTATCAATACAATGGCATTACTCGCCTGATTTCTGAATACAACCTGATACCGGTGGGTGGTATGACGGGGTGGGGTCGGTATCTTGGCACACAACACATCTAATCTGTTTGTACATATTTTACATTTAACGATATATTTTACTGTAGTACGACTATAAGCGACAAAACCCTTTCAAACAATGGTGTCGTCAATGTAATGACATTACTCGCCTGATTCCTGAGTAAAACCTGCATTATGAATATTAGCGACAAAACCCTTTCAAACAATGGATCAGACAATCCAGTGATTGTGACCATGCAACAGATCGGCATGTGTGCAGTATCTATTATATACAATTCAAAAAAGAAACATGACATGCTATTTTGGAGTTTACTTACTGAGTGCCTATAACTGATTCAAACATGACATCATTGCTCAGTTACAGCAAAATCATCACTTTACAAATTTCCAAAACATCCAGAAAGTGTTTGGTAAAACCACATAGGGCTATAAAAGCCACTTGGTCAGAGTAAAATGTCAGTATCTGGTGTGACCACCATGAGCATCGATAGCAGCTTGGCAGCGGTGACCAATAGAAGAAAGGAGATGCCGAATGCTGTCTTGAGGAATGTTTTGATACACTTGCTGAAGTGCTGTGGTAGTGTCTGAGTTGGCGTATTACGCTGGCGCAAGCCTCGATCAAGTTTATCCCATTTATGTCCAATGGTGTCAAATCCGGTGATCGTGCAACGTGAGGTCGAGCTCCATGCTCCAAAGATCACGTTGATGTAGGGAACAACGTGACGTTGAACTGGTCTTCTGGCAAAAAGTCTGGCTTTCTATAGCCAATTGCGCACTGTCTGGTCGGAGATTCCGAGCAGTCCAGGGATTTGGACTGTCGTGGATGATGCGGCCGTGGTGTTTGAACGAAAATGTCTCAACCGGATGTAGCCCTTGGCGTTGTGTCGTTGAGTTTCTGTCAGTCCATAGTAGCTTAAAGCAATGCATGTGGAGTACCATTGATGTGGCTTTTTAACAGTCATAGGCTTCAGCTCAGGGTGATACACAATTTCATGATGCTAGTGCATTTCATGTAGGGTGCGTTTTAGACATGAGTGTAACGTTACGCTTTTGTTAAACTTTCTATTTTCAAACGTTTTGTCGTCGGCAACCATTCCCCCACATACTGGGATTCAGCATGGATTGGTTTGTGTCAACTATTTTCCTAAAATTCAAATTTATCCTATGTCAAGTTTCTTTTTTTTGAAGAGTATATAAGGCAGAAGACTTACCTCCCCCTTCTCTCTGTGGCTTGAGGACGTACATGTCTGGATCAGTCTTCCCCAACTCCACGCCCTTGTCACCTTCTGGACCCTAGACACCATAGAGATTCACACATGCTTGATACGAAGAGACACAATAGATCGAATCATACCATGTAGATATCACCTACTGATATGCTTGTTACACATACATGACACGCCTCAGTTCCGTACAGTGACTGAGCCATCATGAAAAGAGTAATATACTTCTTCAAAGCACAAAGAGTGATACCATTTTTAAGTATCTATGGCTCGCCTTATAGACGCTAATATGTGCACGATCTATGTAAAGCTTTTTGTCACTTTAGGCTTCTTGTGTGGCAATCGGTTTTCAGGAAAAGTTGAATGCGTGGCGTTGTCATCTTTCAAGTAAAATACTAACCACATCTAAACTATACTGCTTCACAAATGTAGCTCGGATTCTCTTCACTGCAGCTGGGTCTTTCATGAATTGTTCCACTGATCCAGGTAAGGATCAACTCTTGTTGGATTTTCTTTAACCCAGCTAGATGGTATTGGATGGAGGGGCATTTGATAGCTAATGAACGTTCAAGTTTTAGCCTTGCATCCCATTCCTAAAACAGTGATCAAAATGTAATCAGAGATTTACGAGCCATTCAGTAAAACCAGTCTCAGTCAGAAGGTATACACTGTATCATGTTTTATTCCTTCTTGCTAAAAGAAATGCTAAAACTCAGTATCCTCCTTTACATTCTTATTAAACATCGGCGGAGTGAAAATAAAGAAACACAATAGGAATATCATGTTTTAATCCTTCTTGCTAAAAGAAATGTTAAAATCAGCATTATATAGTTTCTCTAATTCCGGTGGTCTGTATATAATAGTCTGGACCAGACAATGTTAAAATCAGCTTTCCCTTATTCCTGATGCCAAAGGTAAAACCTGGGCATAGTGAAAATAGAACAACTAAAGAAACTCTCCTTGGATACGAACTATCTGAGACATATAAAATAAGTTGTAAGGATGTTTGGTTCGTGTATAATGTGTGAGCATTTACAACACTTAACAACAATACACAATGCTTACATGTGTTCACAAAGCTCTCGTAAGCCTAAGATCTCGTAACTTTTCTCGTAGCAGTCGTACCTCCTATGCTTTAACATAGACTTACGGCAGTCGAGGAGCTACGATAGCTTTGTGAAACGGGGCCCTGGTCTCTACCCACTACTCAAATACACACTCACAAATACATAATATGAAGGTAGATACAGGTGTATTTCCATTTTGAACTACGACTTCCATCCGCACATACGTACGCGTATACATACCTTATGTGTAGGAACATCATCTGGTGCGTAGCCAGCACGCAGATACACAACGGCCACTTCATCTCCGTCACTAGAGAAAGAAATACATGCTTTTGCAATGGCCTCAATCAACAGTAATTCACAGGTAGGATGTACAGTACACATGGTATATAAATATGTATTATTATGTTTTACAGATGAAGATGAAGACGAAAATGCAGCAGAGAGGGTTTGGGTGATCCTTACACAGTTAGGCTGGTAAGACTCAGCTCAGGGCCCTTGCCCCCTCTTCACGCAGCCCAGACAGCGAAAGGGACTAAAGCGCTGCCTAGTCGAACCCACCAAGAACTTTCCGGAGAATATGGCGGCTTCCAAACACTGCAGCCTTCTGCATTACCCAGAGTGTCAGAAGAGCTGTGCTTCCGGTGGAGAACCCGGGCACTCTCCTGATATGCGCCAAGAGGTCAGTAGATATCAAAATGGCACCGAGAACAATAGGGAGCCTGATGACAGTGTACTTGGGATGCAAGCGGGACATTTCAAAGCCGACGTCCGCATATTTAGCATTCTTTCCCTGAATCTTGCCAATCACATTGGTGTCATAAGGGACAGAAAATTCAATGATATCAATAAATTCATTGGCTTTATCAAAATGGACAAGAGCGGGTTTGTTGGCTGGAAGTCTTTTATATGGACCTATTCCAAACAAGTTTCAAAGTATGATTTTTCCCATGACACCCTGGACATGTTCAGGGTCGTATCATGGATCTCACAGCAGCGTTGCAAACTCTGTTTTGCGACCGGACGGTCAGTTTTAAAAAGTTGCACGCCCGATGGTCTGGCTGTTGAATCAGCGTAATTTTGTAATGTATATAATGACTAAAACATTTAAAAAACGTGTTATTGTGCCGATCGATAATTTCGATGTTATTTTCACATATTGGACCTAATAAATTACGAACATTATCATTTACGAATTCATCAACAACTAACCACGAAATCTTGATCATGTTTCCGCGGCGTGTATGTATTTATGTATCCATTTTTATCACACTAAGCTACCAAATGTACATGTAATGGATTGCGCGATTGGCTGCTATTTTAAGCATTGGACAATCAGATACGGGCTTTCCCGACCCCACCCACATGTAACAATGTTTCAAGGAAATCATTAAATAAATTGAATAAACTAATGAATAAAATCAACAATAGCATTCATAAAAGTTGTCAAACGTACATATAAAACTACTATTTCCATCTTTTTGTGCGATCATGCAATACGATTCAAGTCACTGACAAGTGACATCTCGGCTTTCGCCGCCTCAGTCTTCACGCTTGGACACGATGTTTAATGCGAAAATATATGCATGAAGCATTTTTGTCACAGGTCATAACCTAGCACGATACGTCCAATAAGTTCCATAATTTACGTATACATGGCGATTTCGTGCTTAATATGTTCCGAATAGCATTATTTTACCCAAAACTTTTGTCTAAATATAAAAGTTTTCGTTTACGAGGGCAGTATCCATTGCCGTAATATGAGTGGCTGCCTCATGTCACATGTCTGATCTTGACCAATCACGACTCTTATAGCAGACTGTGGCGAAAAAGCGTCATTAGAAACCAATCTTTATCCAATAAAATCGATTCTTACAACTGTGAAAATACTCTCAGCAAGGGTATAGAGATATTGTTGATGTTCAGAGCTTTCGAACGATACCCGCCATCAAACGATTCGCCTCGCATGTTATTCATACGAAGCTTCGAAAACGGAGGTATTTTCCGTTGTTGTGTCATGTTACCGAGCGGAAAGCCACTAATATCGGGAAATAGGCGAAAGATTATGTATGGTGGCCTATAAAGATTTCTTAAATAATATGTATGGTCGCCTATTTCTCGATATCAGTGGCTTTTAATAATTTTCTGATTACGTAAAAATGAAAATATAAAAGAAAAAGGCACGGGGGTGTTATGACATGTCACAAATGGAAAAAAATCGCCGTAGTTTTTGCTTCTTTTGTGATATTTCTGGACATTATAAATGCTTGCATTTTCATTAAAAACTCAATTTATTTAAGTTGTAGTTGTATTATTTGAAAAATGTTAGAAAAATAAATTTCATATTTATCAACAGTGGGATTACATCTTTTAATTTTGCTGTATATCTAGAATCCAATTTGCAACATTAAATGTCATTAACAATTTAGTTATATGATGGCTCTGGGATTTAAAAAATGTCAAAAAGAGCTTTAGGTCAATGGCCTATCGCCAGACACCCACTCAGGACATTTGTCCTACTGATTTTTATAGGCTTCAAAATCACTGTTAATCCTGAAAATTCTGGACTGGTAAGTTTCCAGCTGGTCTGGTAACTTTTGAGAGTTACCAGACCAGTTGTCTGGCCGAAATTTTGGGGAGTTTACAACACTGCTCACAGTCAATATTATCATTATAGGTATTACTGGGGCTTTGCTTCAGAATTCAGGAATTTTGACATTTATCCAAGTTTAAAGTTTTAGGAATGTCCTATAATCCCAGAAACATATATTTTAATGTCAACCTGCTGTGAACACTTTATACAAATATCACTGAAGCATTTTGCTAATATGAAGGTGAGCTACAATATTTGTGTGGCGAATTCTGTAAGTTGGTGGTCGACGCATCTTTATAATCCGACTATGATCGAAAATAACGATCTTTCATATGCTTAAACGTTATCTCTGATAACGGGAAGGTGAGCTACTGAAACTATGGGTTTGATGGAAACACTTGATGATAACGTACACCAACAGTCTCTTATCTTCTGTCAAGGAGGCGCCGTTGTAGATGTCCATGTAAGTACCACGTATAACCCGAACCCTAGAGTTGATAGAGAGGACCTTGAACTCCAGGAGTCGTTGATCAAATATGTTTGACTCTGTCTCACGCACAACAAAGAGGATGGCAGCTCTGAGAAATTAACAAAGAAGAGAATAAAGGCTCCAGTATTATTTTAGAAAGGTTTCAGTGGATATGAAATCTCTCCTTTTTCTAGAAGCAATTCATTCATTCATTCATTCCAAACTGACATAGAGTCAGTATAGACTATAGGGATGGTGTGAATCTTCCTATGGTATCCCTGTGGTAGTTACAGTCTCAGTGGCCCCTCGTGTGGTAGCTGGTGATCTATAGCTCGTATCTATTGTTTACTGTTTATCATATTTCTAATGTTTTAATAGAATCTGATTACCTAGTTATGGTACTCCAACGACAACAAGGTTTTAAGTATTTTTGTTATGAACTTCTCGAACATAGAGAATTTTCTGGGTTTCTTCTTCTTTGTATTCTTTGATACAGCGTTTCAGGGCTTGTTCTGGTCCATCATCCATTAAAACTAAAGGTACTTCTCGTACTATTATTATCTTATCGTAACGATTTGAGTGAAATATTTCTGATGTGATGAAAACTGTAGACATTTGTTGCTGAGGTGTTACACGATGAGGCCATTCACGCACAACAAAGATGAATGGCACTAGACTTAAGCCACTAGAAGCATTTCATTCAATGCAGTTCAATGTTGTGGATATTTTTTCGATACAATAAAGCACCCCTAAAAGTGAGTAAGTGAGTTAGTTATCATCATTCAAAGTATTGTGATGCATGCCAGACGTTCAAAAGGTATATGATGTCACCAGTATACGACATTTAGAGCACTTACTGTTTCCGTCCATACAACTCCCACGCCTTCAGTAGACCCAAAGCTGCTCCCAGAGAAGAGTTGTTATCCTGGACCTAGTAGAGACACTTTCAGTACTTCATACATGTACACTTCCACGTGACTATACCCGTGAAGGTCCGGGTTAGAATGAGCCTTCAGTAACCCATGCTTGTCGTAAGAGGCGACTAACGGGATCTGGTGGTCAGGCTCGCTGGCTTGGTTGACACATGTCATCGGTTCCCAATTGCGCAGATCGATGCTCATGTTGTTGATCACTGGATTGTCTGGTCCAGACTCGATTATTTACAGACCGCCACCATATAGCTGGAATATGGCTGAGTGCGGCGTAAAACTTAACTCACTCACTCACTCCACGTGACTATGGACTACTTTTATCAACATTGTCAACATGGCTCCTCCTCCATCAGTCATTTTCAATCTAATATGATTTGATATCGTGTCTGTTAGTATTCATAATATGTGTAATAATTGCACAAATGAAGGAAATAAAGATCATTCATTCACACACGCACACACGCACACACAGACAGATAGACAGACAGAATCGTCTCCGCCTGGCTCACCTATGGGATACCTGAGTAATACCTGAGTAATAATGGGATACGTCATGCAAGTCTTGTCTGGTTTCTCCAAATCACCAGATGTGTGTGTCTACTCACCTCCCTGTTATCATAATGCTTCCCTATCAGGTCAAGGGTAAACCTGCAACACAAAAGTCATGTAAACAGCGATGTCAGACGTTTAGGATGAAGCTCTGGATCAGCACACCTGGACAAAATTATTTAGAAAAAGGTATAGAACTAATCAGTATTGCCCCTATCAGGTGTGAGCAGAGTATTAAATTTTAATTTGATAATATTTTGGATCTTCGGGTATCACAGCGGAAACACAAAATAATGCTTGAAATCCTTCCTGTGAAAGTGCAGAATCGAACCAAGAGCTAGGCGAACCAATGTTTAAAATTTCATTCACCTCTTGCGCCTCTTGATAGATGAATCATTTGTGCAGACAAAATGTAGTGAGATCAAAATATACGTGTGAACACAATGGATATACTATGTCTGTAAATGCACTGATACATTAATGAAATGTTTCAAACTCGTCAAATTATGCCTTTTTCATATGTTCGCAACTTGGCACTTCCTGAAACACTATTACTAGGATCATCGACATAGAGCGACAGACAATGTGCTAATAAATATTTGAAAAGGGTATAGATACAGAGAACTACGGAAGCGTCCTAGTGCCACAGTCTGAATTTTTTTATCTCCTAATTAGGACTTACTATCTCCTAATTAGGAGATACTATCTGCTAATTAGGAGATAGCTAAGTCCTAATTAGGAGATAGTAACTCCTAATTAGGAGATAGTATCTCCTAGTTAGGAGATAGATAAGTCCTAATTAGGAGAAAGCTAAGTCCTAATTAGGAGATAGTAACTCCTAATTAGGAGATAGCATCACCTAATTAGGAGATAGTAACTCCTAATTAGGAGATAGTATCACCTAATGAGGAGATAGTAACTCCTAATTAGGAGATAGTATCTCCTGATTAGGAGATAGATAAGTCCTAATTAGGAGATAGCTAAGTCCTAATTAGGAGATAGTAAGTCCTAATTAGGAGATACTAAGTCCTAATTAGGTGATAAAAAAATTCAGACTGTGGCACTAGGACGCTTCCGTAGAGAACTAATTAGTAGAGCACCTTTGAGGCAACAATTCTAAGAAACACTTAAAGTGGCAGAAACCTAATCCTCAGAGTGTAATTGCCGGAAGGTAACCACATAACAGGGGTGCCCATGCACAAAGCGCTCTTAGCGTTTAGGTGGTCGTGACTCCCATATCTTTACACAGACGTACGACAGTCGTAACACTAAGGCTTCCTTGTATTGCGACACCCTGGTTTATATTCACCAACTATAGGCAAGCGATGTACCATATGGTCACAACAAAATTGATATAAGCTAACAAAAAGAAATATTTTTCTTTTCTCTGACAGCCCCTATGACATCTACAGAGGTAGCCTCAGACGGCGTACGTCAGACAAAGACCTACCTGTGCAGGTAAACTAACAATGATCCAAGGCTGCCTGCACCTGCTGCTATTGTGTTGATCTCAACCTGCTTAATCTGGACATGGTCAGGGTCCTGTACATCGATCATGAAGTCGTTTCTGAACAATCCCAATGACAGGGGCTGAAAATAAGAAACACTTTCTTCTATTGGTTTTCTCAAAGATTGATAAAGGAAGGTAGAAGACGTTTTATATCTGAAATCTAATCAAGAGCATACCTACCTGAGTGTATCCCTCCTCCCTCACTTGAGTGTAGATCTTCCACAACCCTTGTGTAAACTCATCAACCTCCAAAACACTGAAATGAGGGATCGAGACGCAAGATACCAGGGACGACATAGATGAGATCATTTATATCAGAGAACTAATTAGTAGAGCACCTTTGAGGCAACAATTCTAAAGAAACACTTAAAAGTGGCAGAAACCCGTCCTCAGAGAATAATTGCCGGAAGGTAACCACATAACAGGGGTGCCCATGCACAAAGCGCTCTTAGCGTTTAGGTGGTCGTGACTCCCATATCTTTACACAGACGTACGACAGTCGTAACACTAAGGCTTCCTTGTATTGCGACACCCTGGTTTATATTCACCAACTATAGGCAAGCGATGTACCATATGGTCACAACAAAATTGATATAAGCTAACAAAAAGAAATATTTTTCTTTTCTCTGACAGCCCCTATGACATCAACAGAGGTAGCCTCAGACGGCGTACGTCAGACAAGGACCTACCTGTGCAGGTGAACTAGCAATGATCCAAGGCTGCCTGCACCTGCTGCTATTGTGTTGATCTCAACCTGCTTAATCTGGACATGGTCAGGGTCCTGTACATCGATCATGAAGTCGTTTCTGAACAATCCCAATGACAGGGGCTGAAAATAAGAAACACTTTCTTCTATTGGTTTTCTCAAAGATTGATAAAGGGAGGTAAAAGACGTTTTATATCTGAAATCTAATCAAGAGCATACCTACCTGAGTGTATCCCTCCTCCCTCACTTGAGTGTAGATCTGCCACAACCCTTTTGTAAACTCATCAACCTTCAAAACACTGAAATGAGGGATCGAGACGCAAGATACCAGAGACGACATAGATGAGATCATTTATATCATTTCCAATGTTTTATTTCTTTACGAATACACCCAGTGATTATGAGAACTATTGCAAGAGCATACATATACTCTATTTCCTTATTGCAAAGTGTATTTTCGGCTGAAGACGGAAGACATGGGTTAAGGATAATTTCCAATTCGTCGGCATATAATGTGTTACTTTGTTTGCTCTATACAGAAATTATTTAGATGTGAAATTGTATCTGGACAAATTGTTATATATTTGATCGAGCCACGTAGGATGCTGTGCACAGAGGTCAACAAGATGTTCACAATACATCAAGGTACATGTTCACAAAATCAATGTTTGTCTTTACCTGTAATAATAAAATTGTATCTACCTGCGCTTTCTTTTTTAATCATCAGAACATATTTACAAAATGATGAAGGGTTTCTTTAGGCGTGAGTTTGTGGCTACATTAACACATTTCACTGTGCACAGGTGGTTCATGACACTAGGTTTGAACATCCTTAATTGCCGCAAAATAACGATTTTTTTATAAAATGTCAACTTAATCCTGCAATGACGTTGTTCTTATATGTAATTCTGATTACTAATTGGATTGTTAAACAGAAAATGGAAAGCAGCTGAGTACAAATTACTTTGGGGCTTGGGGAGATGGGTTCGAAATCTCATATTATGATCGACTAGAAAATTTAAAGTTTCTCGCGGCTAGTACAGTTTCTGATGTGATGAAATATAATAATCCCTAACCAAATATTGAATAATGATTGTGTGTGCGTACTTCTTAAGGGCCTTTTCCAGGAAGTTGTGGTCATGGGCTACTTTATGGATGAGTGTGTTGAAATCCAGCATGCAGTCCACGGCCTCCTGGAAGCATGTCCGGGGCACCACGCTGGGAAACAGGGTAAAGGGGAAATGCTGAGCCAGCATTGTTCCATCTTGTCCTCGCTGTTCAGACTGCATACAGATTCCTGTCATATGGCAGTCGTATGAGACTAAAAGATTCAAAGCATACGAGCTGGGTCCTTAAAATAAAAAAATAGACTAATGTTTTAAGAAATTGTTATCTCAATGAACAGCTGTGTGCAAGATGGCATATGATCAGCTGAGAAAAACGTACTATGACAGTTTTTTTAACTAACTTGGACACGTGGCCAGAGGCCAGTGTTTGCTTAGTTTAGTTTTACGCCGCACTCAGCAATATTTCAGCTATATGGCGGCGGTCTGAAAATACTCGAGTCTGGACCAGACAATCCAGTGATCAACAGGTAAACCGATGACATGTGTCAACCAAGACAGCGAGTCTGACCACCCGATCCCGTTAGTCGCCTTTGACGACAAGCATGGGTTACTGAAGATCAAATCTAACGGGCGACTCATGAAGAACCCTCTGGAGAATTCTGCTTTTTCACAGAGACGGACATTTCATTTAAAATGACAAACCATTTGTTATCAAACCAGTTGGTATCCTCACTTGAATAAACCCCAACTGGACAAAATATTTTCACCAGCCGTACAGAGCCTACCAAATTTCTTGATTTCAATATATTCATTTAACTGCACCTTTTGCACGACAATTTGGGCAATGTGTATATGACTACTTCTCGGCAAATCGAACTGTAGTTTTCCACCTTTCCCTTCCTGTATACGTAAAGTGTATGTAAACTATTTACCCATTACCATAAGGCTATGAATGTACCACTACCTAACGGGCGAAACTGTCATTGCGCGAATGTATCAAAATAGAAGCGAAAAAACACTGTTCACATCCATACGAAATCTCTTCTAAAAGCACAGTCAATTGTATAATTGTGACTATATCGTGAGTATATATTTGTTTCAGCAGTATAACAGTTGTACGATGTTGCACGATGGCAATCGCTATCCAGTGATTGTCACCATGCGATTCGATGACAGAGCATATGTGTATGAATCACCATACAATAGTTATGATACCAGGTGTTCGCGAAGAGATGAGCGTATCCTGCACTGTTTAGACAATTGTTCACCTGAAATAGTTCGGGAACGTATGGTACAAGTCAAAATAGGTAATTTGATTGGACATCATTTTTGACACTGATGCATCGAATTTTGAAATGCCCTCCACATGTCAACCATAAAACGTTTTGAAAGTTTTACTGATTCCTTGAATGTTGTAACCTGGGTCGAACAACTTCTGATCAAGACTGATATGACGCTCTTTGAAATCTTGGTGAAAGGAGCGTGCTCGATTGCACCCCAAAAAGGGAAATGTAAACACCAAAGCCTGGACCTGTTGGAATATTGCTCGACATGAAAGGAAAGTTGACTATTGGGAAGTTAAAATCTTTCCTTTTTTCATACAGCCATGTGGAGAGGTTTTTGTTACTCTGAATCTTTATGCATAGATCTAGATAGGAGACAATTGAGGCGCTCTCACTTGTGTCCTTAATTTCAAGTTCAGGTAGGTAAATCAGTGGAAGGCAATTGCCTATCAGAAGGAGATAATTACATTCTACCACACAAACAAATGAATACCAAGGATTCATCAGAAGAACGAAGGAACTCCAAAGAAGACCTTCTTCTAGTCCTGGAAGCAAGTGATGCGGACATCCCACACTCTCAATAAACCTGCCATCATGGAATCTAACGAATGGTTTCAAGATCGTGGTGAATGTGTGAAACCTGCCAAGAGACATCTTCAGGATAGATATAAAACTGCCAAACGATTGATCATCAAAAAAGCCCAGGACAGTGTATGTGTGCGCAGACGATGCATATAGGGCCAATGCAGTGAAACGATATAAGCATCTATACCGAAACGTCGCAATAGTACAATAAAGATCATCATGCATAAATATTTGTCATTCCTACTTTTAGAGCATATTACGACGATGAATCACATTCGTTCAGCAGATATCTTTTCAAATGCTGACATATTCACAGAAATATCGCCCATCGACTGGTCAAGAAAAGAGTAAAACGTACTAATCCATTCAACAAACAAATGAATGGAAAGGTGAACCTTACAAGAAACATTAAACCCAAATCGAACAAAAAGATGAATGGAAAGACGGAACGTACAAGAAACATGTTTGAGTGGCATTTTAGAAGTTGAGACGTACAATATATAACAAGTTTTATGGATAACAACTTCTTTATTTTGGAGTGCGACGTTTCGATACAGATTCTTGTACCGTTGTCAAGCAAGAGTGATACATGAAGTGTAGGAGCTGCATATATATACTGTATATAACAATGAAACAACATAATAGACAAAGGAAACAACATAATTGCCATGATTGGCTAAGCAGTAAGCTGATGAAGCCAGTAAGTACATAAAGGATAGTGAATGGAAGCCAGAGATGTAGTTACAATGAGATGTTTATACAATGGATGCGATGTTTATACAATAGACTGGGCTTGGTGGAGGAGTGGATCATAAGCAGATGGAATGAAGTATCCTTGGTCACGGTTGATGGTAGGCTTGTGGCGTTTGATGTGAATGGCTTCTGTGAGCTTGCGTTTAGTGAACACCCATCAACACCCGAGTCAAAGAACATCGCACCTCTGTTGCTAATTCCGACACCAAATCAGCTATCTCTGACCACATCAAAGCCAACCCCAATCATCAAATAGAGTGGTCCGACATCACCATTCTCGCCAACAACCAAACGGACTTCACTAAACGCAAGCTCACAGAAGCCATTCATCAAACGCCACAAGCCTACCATCAACCGTGACCAAGGATACTTCATTCCATCTGCTTATGATCCACTCCTCCACCAAGCCCAGTCTATTGTATAAACATCGCATCCATTGTATAAACATCTCATTGTAACTACATCTCTGGCTTCCATTCACTATCCTTTATGTACTTACTGGCTTCATCAGCTTACTGCTTAGCCAATCATGGCAATTATGTTGTTTCCTTTGTCTATTATGTTGTTTCATTGTTATATACAGTATATATATGCAGCTCCTACACTTCATGTATCACTCTTGCTTGACAACGGTACAAGAATCTGTATCGAAACGTCGCACTCACCAAAATAAAGAAGTTGTTATCCATAAAACTTGTTATATATTGTAAACCTCCAAGAAGACTCGTCCCCTCTCGATGCTTGTTATGTGAAGATAAAATACGACAAACCAATCAGAACGCGCGTAATGATTGCGGTGCTTTGATAAAAATAATCCTTTAGTACTTAAATCGTTTATGGCATTATGTGCATTGTTTAAAAAAATCATGAAAAATATATATCGTCATATTGAAAGTACAAAGAACGTAGCTAACAGAATTGTGTTGCCTCGTGTGAAGTTTTAATAAGGATAATGCGATTGACGGTGAGAGATTCAAATACACGCACGTGCGTTTGTTGACATAACGGCTCTCATGGGTCCAAGTGTATTTCTGACGATCTTGCGGGCTTGTTTGGAGATTGTACGTGCGCTTTCCACCACATTTTTAGGAAATATAATTATAAATCGCTACGAGTTTCAAAACAATAATATTATATCTGTATGTAACTAATCAACTTTAATCTTTAACATTGGGCTTATATTTCATATCTCTGGGGATATTTTAGTCTGACTTTTTTTTGGTCATTCATATTTTTTTCAGCGAATTCATTTAAAATTCCACCAGGGGTGTGACAGCAAGGTTACACGAATGTTCAGTTTGAGAAATATTTTAAAGTCATTTTTGAGTATCTGCTTTGGGATTTAATGTAGCTGAAAACAAGATTTGTTTTATTTGCATATTCAATAAAACAATTCCCATTTGTGATTCTTAAACCCTATTTAGAAATATACATTTGGATATGGTAATATTACAGCTGCTATGTAATTTAACAAATAATAGTTTTTCTCCTTCTTTTAGTTGTATCAAAGAGGTTTAATTCTTTAAAATAAATAAATAAAACAAAACAAAAACCCAGCAATACGATGTACAAAGTGCTTCGGTGATATTAAGTACCATTGGAATCAAACAGGGATAGAGTTATCGTTCTTGTTTAAAGTAGTTCTGATGTTCATACGCCAATATGAAATCCTTCCAGAGGGGCACGAGTCGCTATTCGGCTTGTCCCGGAATAACACGAGTTGGTCACGAATGATCTTCTTGGAGGTTACCAAAGGGGCGAGTGGTGACGAATGGATGCTTGTTATGTTCGAAAATTCGACAAACCAATCAGAACGCGCGTAATGATTGCGGTGCTTTGATAAAATAATAATCCAGTACTTAAATCGTGTATGGCATTATGTCATTGTTTAAAAAAATCATGAAAAATATATCTCGTCATATTGAAAGTACAAAGAACGTAGCTAACAGAGTTTTGCTGCCTATTATGAAGTTTTAATAAGAATCATGCGATGTACCATCCCGATGCTTGTTATGTTCGAAAATACGACAAACCAATCAGAACGCGCGTAATGATTGCGTTGCTTTGATAAAAATAATAACCAGTACTTAAATCGGTTATGGCATTATGTGTGTGTTTAAAAAAAATCATGAAAATATGTATCGTCATATTGAAAGTACAAAGAACGTGTAGCCAACAGAACTGTCTTGTCTCGTGTAGATTTTAGTATGGATAATGCCATGAATGGTGCGAGATTCAAATACACGCACGTGCGTTTGTTGACATAACGGCTCTCGTGGGTGTATTTCTGACGATCTTGCGGGCTTGTTTTGGAGATTGTACGTGCGCTTTCAACATTGTTAGGAAATGCAATTATAAATCGCTTCGAGTTTCAAAACAATGCTATTATATACGCATGTTACTAATCAACTTTAATGTTTAGCAATGGACTTACGATTCACATCACTGGGCATATTTTAGTCTGACTTTATTTTGGTCATTCATATTTTTTTTCAGCGAATTCATTTAAAATTCCACCAGGAGTATGACAGCAAGGTTACACGAATGTTCAGTTTGTGAACAAATTTAAAGTCATTTTCAAGTATCTGCTTTGGGATTTAATGTAGCTG